CTTATGGCCGGAATAGCGGTTACAACTTTGCTCTCGTTGAGAAGATTCGTTGCATCACCACCGACAGAACCAACACAAGAGGATCTCCTGCGACGGGTAATGGCTAAAGTGGAAGAATTTCTTGAGTGGTTCGAAGCAGCTCTGGACTCTTACGAGTCCTCCGCTATGAGTGCCGAGAAGTCTGAATTATTCAGGCTATTGGTGAGGTCATGCTCAGGAGCGACTACAAGCGAAAGAGGAGCACAAAGCGAAGCTGAGCATAATTTGTTACTGCATGTCCTTGGCGACCAAAGTTCTCGGAATAGTCTTCTCAGCAGACCTGTCTCAGATCATGTTGTATCGTTGTTGTGCGCCGAGAATGAGCTTCCGCGAGACCATAATCCCCATCTTGATCAGACAGAAAGTGATGAGGTGGCAATTTCAAGCGCTGTAACGGTTTGTCAGACGCTGGAAAGGTTCAATTGCCGGGATGAATACAAGATTTGGGCTGCTAAAGTGATTGGAAAAGCGTTTGCCGCCACAGGCAGTATCAGCGATTCTCTATCGAGAGAACAGGAACCCACCTTGTTCGAAACACTGCAGCCCCGCGCAATCCTGGACTCAAATCACCGCTCAAGAATCAGTATCCTGACACAGCTTTGTAATATGCTGCAAAATAGCAGTCATGCCGAGGTGGGCCTTGTCGAACGTACGATGCAATCGATCGTCAGCAACCTAAGCAACTTCCCTGAGCTTGGCGATTGCCGCAACGCTATATCCCCTTCCCTTCTCAGCGCCTTGACATGGGACCCCTACCACTGTCCCAGTATCCCTACGCGGTTATCGAAAGCCGGCACAGGCCACGGGTTCGGATGGGATCCCAGCGTCTCTGCAAATGACTTTGCGAAAGATGTCGGGCTCTTCTTGTCTAAAGCTGCTTCCGAAGACCCGGTTATTGGACCATTATGCACTCTTCTGAACGTCATGCCATACCTAGCAGTGCAGATTCTGCCACAGATTCTTCATGAGGTTCTGCTGGCAGACCTGCATGGCGACGTGGACATTCGTTACACGATCTCCGAGATTTTCAAGAAGGTGTTACGACAGGTCAACGATAGCACCATACCTCACGCGCGGCTCGTCATAAACTGCATTCTCTATCTCCGAAACCAGCCAAGGCCAGATGAGTCGACCATTGTGGAGCGCGATGAATGGCTCGATATTAACTTTGCCGAGGCGTCCTCAGCAGCCAGTCGATGCTTCTTGCCGAAGACGGGACTTCTTTTTCTTGAGATTTACACTTCGCGAATGAGTTCCACATCTCGTCGTTCATCGCTTGCCAAGTACGAGGCTCCTCCAGACGTCCTGCACGCCATATATCAGGAAATAGACGATCCAGATATCTTCTATGGCATTCAGCAGGACTCGTCTCTAGCAGCTGTTATGAAAAAGCTCGAACACGAAAGCTCTGGCCTCAAGAACTTATTGTTCCAGAGCGCACGATATGACAGTGAGATACAGATGGGTGAAACAGCGAATGTCCACAGTGTCCTGAAGGCACTTCATTCGACGAATCTTCAGGGTATTGCAAACTCCGTTTTTGTGGCTTCCGGAAACTCGAAGGACACTTCACTGTCTCTCGATAGCATGCTTCAGACAGCTACCAGTCTGCGACAGTGGGATATTCCTATTTCGCCTTTGCATGCATCCCCGTCTGGGGCAGTCTTTCGGACCTTTCAGAGTCTCAGCACGTCGAGAACCCTAGCTGATATCTCCAATTCCGTCAATGAGTGCCTGCTGAGCAGCTTGGAATTGTTGAACAGCAGCAGTCGGTCAGTAGGCGACTTGAGAACTGCTATGAGGGTCTTGGGGATCATGACAGAAATCAGTGATGTTCTAAGTGCAAAATCGACGGATGAGATCAACGAGGAGTGGCAGAAGATAGCATCCAGAAACTCTTGGTTGAAAAGAACCAGGTGAGTATCAGAACACCTCTCTTTCACGTGCATACAAACTTGTTTACTGAGCAAAAATAGTGCGGACGAGGTTGTGGAGATCTTGATCTGTCATGAGGCGCTTTTCTCTACGATCAGGCAAAAGGACATCCTCAAGTCTGCAATCAACCTCCAAGACTCAGACGCGCTGTTACTGGAAATCAAGGTTCTTCGCCAGTCGCTTGAGGTTGCGCAGAGCCACGATATCTCTCAAGCTTCGCTAAAGATTGCGTTTTGTCTTCAGAAGCTTGCATCCCAGAGCGCGCTGCTGGGAATAGATACTGAAGGAGCGGCAAAGTTCGATCTAGCCAATGTCCTATGGGATCAGGGCGAAATGGCTGCATCCATCAGAATGCTGCGACAACTCAAGGATCGAAACGATCTACACAAGCAAGCAGTCCCCATGAGCCGTGCTGAACTTCTCGTGACTTTAGTAAATTGAACCCAAATTCTTGTCGCTTTCATCTGTAACGTCAAGGCCGGTGCTGACTTTCTCAGGGTCACCGCACTGCAGAAGCGCGATTGGAGAAGCCAGAAACTATCATACAGGACTACATGTCGGTAGCAGTCAAGGAACTTAAACACCGCTCACGGGGAGAAGATGCTGGTCGAGTCTATCACGGGTTTGCAATGTTTTGTGACCAGCAATTACAGAACCCTGACGGGTTGGAGGATTTCAGGCGTGTCGAACAACTTCGCAACCGCAAAGAACAAGAAGTTATCGCGTTGGAAGAAATGTTGACAGCGGCCTCAGGCAGAGAGAAAGAAGCGCTCAAGTTTCACCGGGCGAAGACCAAGCAATGGTTTGATCTCGATGATCGCGAGTACCAACGTCTCTTGCGCAGTCGGGAAGCTTTCCTTCAGCAGTGTCTCGAGAATTACCTGCTGTGCTTGAGAGAGAGCGAATCGTACAATAACGATGCTCTGCGTTTCTGCGCGTTGTGGCTTGACAAATCCGATAGTCCGATTGCGAACATGGCTGTGTCGAAGTACCTTCACCAAGTCCCTAGCCGCAAATTTGCCTCTCTGATGAATCAATTGACGTCCCGCCTTCTAGATATTTCCGATGAGTTTCAAAAGATGCTCTTTGCATTGATATATCGCATTTGCGTCGAACATCCATTCCATGGTATGTATCAAATTTTTGCAAGCAGCAAATCGAGAGGCGGCAAGGATGAATTAGCCCTATCTCGCTACAGGGCAGCCAACAAGCTGGTCGACGGCCTCAAAAACGACAAACGCATAGGAACGACGTGGGTGAACGTGCATAATGCAAACATTAGCTACGTGCGGTTTGCAATCGACAAACCAGACGATAAGTTAAAGAGTGGTGCCAAGGTCCCGTTGAAAAAATTGTCCACTGGCCAACGTCTCGAACGAGATGCATCTGAATTAAAACTTCCACCCCCAACGATGAGAATTGAGATCCGCCTTGACTGCGACTATAGCGATGTACCAAGGCTTCAGAGCTACCAGCCCGATTTCACCATCGCTTCCGGTGTCAGTGCCCCGAAGATTGTCACGGCGATTGCTAGCAACGGGCGACGATACAAGCAACTGGTAAGCTTTAGTATTGGACTGGTCTTCTTCGCCATGCTGACATTTATCCAAGTTCAAAGGAGGAAATGATGACCTGCGGCAGGATGCTATCATGGAACAGGTTTTCGAGCAAGTCAGCAGCCTCCTCAAAGATCACCAAGCCACTCGGCAACGAAACCTGGGAATCCGGACCTATAAGGTGCTGCCTCTCACATCCAACGCTGGAATAATTGAGTTTGTTCCCCATACAATCCCGCTTCACGACTATTTGATGCCGGCACATCAGAAATACTTCCCCAAGGACATGAAACCGAACGTATGCCGTAAACATATCAGCGATGTTCAAACACGGTCATTCGAGCAGAGAGTACGCACCTTCCGCCAAGTGACGGAGCATTTCCACCCTGTGATGCGATTCTTCTTCATGGAGAAGTTCAACAACCCGGACGACTGGTTCAGCAAGAGGCTGGCATACACCCGGAGCACTGCGGCGATCTCGATTCTAGGTCATGTGCTGGGCCTGGGCGACCGACACGGCCATAACATTCTACTGGACGAGCGAACTGGTGAGGTCGTTCATATCGATCTAGGCGTTGCGTTTGAACAAGGCCGAGTCCTCCCAGTCCCCGAAGTTGTTCCCTTTCGCCTTACACGCGACCTGGTTGATGGGATGGGCATCAGCAAGACCGAAGGGGTTTTTAGGCGCTGTTGCGAGTTTACACTTGATGCCCTGCGGCAGGAGTCGTACAGCATTATGACGATTCTGGATGTGCTTCGATACGATCCGCTCTACAGCTGGACAGTGTCACCGCTGCGGCTGAAGAAAATGCAAGACGCGCAGGATGCGGCTGATGAAGATGGGCCTCCGGTCATCACGGGCAATATGGATCAGCGTTCTGCCAACGAGCCGAGTGAAGCAGACCGTGCACTCACCGTAGTAGCCAAGAAGCTGGGCAAGACATTGAGCGTGACGGCCACTGTGAATGAACTTATCCAGCAGGCTACCGATGAAAAGAATCTCGCTTTACTATACTGTGGTAAGTCTGGCAAAAGTCCTCATTACACTTGTGGACATACGCTGACAGGTCCCCCTCCTGCACTCTAGGTTGGGCCGCTTATGCTTGAGTCAATTGGTATTCTGATCTGATTCTGATGAATCGATATAAAACGAGCCACAATATGTTAAATATAGTTCATGACTTTCACGATTCTAAGTAGAAAAATGATTTGTTAGTTGATATCGCGCTGTTTGTATAGCTTGAGCCCATCATATTATATATCTGACATCGTTCAAACAATGTAAAACAGTCACCTTATCATAGTCATAATCAGCCATCAAGACCCTTAAAAATAATAAAAAGGCCAGTCAAAGATTGATGCGGCCGAGGAGTTGTTGTCGTCAACTTGTGTTGAACCGTGGTTGCCTCGGCTTTGTTTATCGCCGTGCCTGCCGGATTCTTGTTTTTGGATTTCATCCTCCCTGCATTCATTCCATCGCCACCTCACCGGGTATTCAGACAATGTCTCTGAACACACCAGCGACTTACAAGCTTCAAGTTGCACGGTCTCTTGCATGAACAGTCCGAATATTCAGTCAGCGCACGGATTTCTTGGCAGTTGTAACTACCAACCCAGCCCAGCATCGAATAGTGATTGCTGTACTAATCATGCTTTCGTGGCTTCTTCGGAAGGAATCATAATGTCGATTTGAACACGGTTTCAGATCACATACACAATAGCTGAAAGCCACTTGCTCCACACCATCAAATAATAAATCTTGCGCTCATGGCGACGCCCACGGTGCCCAACCGGGGCTTGGTGGTGTTTTCTGGAGGAAGTGCCGCCAACAATCTAGTTGATGTCTTCAACTCGGTGCGCGAGACCAAGGATTGTCCGCTGAGCTATATTATCCCCATCAGCGACAACGGTGGCTCTTCTTCCGAGCTGATTCGGATCTTTGGTGGCCCTGGAATCGGCGATGTACGCAGTCAGTTCAAGCCCTCTTCACCTCCCCTGCCTTTCGGCGTGACCTTTTTTTCCTAACCATCGAAAAACAGGTAGATTAGTCCGTCTGATCCCAGAATCGCCGCCTCACTCAGAGCGCGCGGCGATCAAAACCCTCTTCAACCACCGCCTTCCAGCGGACGCAGTGCAGGCCCACGCCGAATGGCACTCGATCGTGGACGGCACCTCCGAGATCTGGAAGCTGATCACGCCGGCCAAAAAGGAGCTGATCCGCTCGTTCTTCAACCTCCTGAACCTGGAGATCCTCAAGCGCGCGCGACCCCCGTCCTCCACCTTCGACTTCACCTCCGCCAGCGTCGGCAACCTGTTCCTGACGGGCGCGCGCCTATTCAGCGGCAGCTTTGAAAGCGCCATCTACCTGCTGGGCAGCATCTGCGGAGTGCCCTCGGACCTGGTGCGGGTGATCCCGGCGATCAACTCCAACTTCTCGCACCACATCTCCGCGTCGCTGGCGGACGGGACCGTGATCGTGGGCCAGAACAGCATCTCGCATCCCAGCGAGGCGACGGCGCTGCGGCCGGGCTCGCGGCGGCCCAGCCTCCTCCTCGCCGACGGCGGCGAATGCCTGGAGGAGGCGGACGACTCGGGCGCCTTCTCCTACGAGGACGACCACCCGCCGGGCTCGCTGCCCACCCTCCGCAACAAGAACATCTCCTTCAGCAAGTCCGACAACGAGGACCTGCCCTCCCGCATCACCCGCATCTGGTACATCAACCCCTACGGCCAGGAGATCCGGCCCCCGGCCAACCCGCGCGTCATCGAGGCCCTGCGCGACGCCCAGGCCATCGTCTACAGCATCGGCTCCCTGTACACCTCGCTGATCCCCTCGCTTATCCTCCGCGGCGTCGGCCACGCCATCGCCACCGGTCCCGCCCGCCACAAGATCCTCATCCTGAACGGCTCCCTCGACCGCGAGACCGGACCCCCCGCCGCCCCCTTCTCGGCCGCCGACTTCGTCGAGGCCATCACCCGCGCCGGAGAAGAAAGCCGCGGCCGCGCCGTGTTGGACGCAAACCAACAACCGCTGAGTGACCAGCCCCTGCCGTACACCGCCTACGTCACCCATGTCCTGCACCTGGAAGGGCCCGGCACCCCCGCGGTGGACAAGTACCGTCTCGCCGCCATGGGGATCGAGACCCTCCGGCTCTACGGGCGCAAGATCACCAGCCCCGGCGCCGACGGGGAGGAGGTCGCCGTGGGGATGAAGTACGACGCGACCGCCTTGACCCAGGCCCTGGAGGTGGTTCTCGGAAGGAAAGGCGACGCCATGCTGCGCGGAGGGGAGAATAATGGGCTGAGTAGGAGGAATACCCTAGACCCCGGGAGGAAGAAGGCATGAGAGATGGAATGTCTTTGTATCGTATTACCGTTATCGTACAAGAGTAGAGCTTAGCTCCTTATAGATCATTGCTCCTAAATAATCTCATTCATCTAATCATGTTAAGCTTTACTTGCAATCTTATCAAAGACCAAGAACGTAGACGTCAGCACTAGTTCCTTCTACTCATATAATCTTGCACAGAAAAAAGGTCTTTTTGATTTTTTTACTTTTGATTCTGATTCAAATAGTTCACATCAAAATTGCACCGCCCCCAATTAAAACACCGATGTAAGTCCAACAGATATATGTCGTCCACACTTGAGAGCAAGCAAAGGGAAAGAAAAAAATGCCCCGCCAAAATGCAACATCCCCTTTCGACGCCCTTTCCAATGCTTTTATTGCAATACAAAAGATTTTTCCAGCACACAGAATACATGTCAGAAGAAGAGAGTGAGAGAGAGATCGGATGAGACATGAGGTTGAGGTAGTAGCTTGGGAGTCAGTCTGTCGACCAGCAAGAAGACAAGCTTTATTATATATACAGGAGAAGGACCAAAAAGGGTTGAGGAAGGGTTGAGGAGTCAAGAAGAGCCATGATCACGCGCGGGCGGAATGTCGGGGTTTCCAGTTCTGGCGATTGAAACTGACGTGGGGAGACCTGCTCCCTTGCTGCGAGAAGCCGCTGCCCCGGTAGCCCGGCGTGTAGATGGTCGCGCCGACGTCCATCAGGATGGCCTTTTGGGGCTCCGCTGCTGGAAGTGCGGTAGTGCGGGGGCGGCCGCGGCCCTGGCTGGTGCCGGCGGCGGGGGACTGAGTGGCTGCCGCTGCCGCTGCTGCAGCCATCGTGGTTTTCTCTTTGGTGAGCTCCTTGACGATCTCTCGGAGTTCCGCGTCGTCCTTGGTGATCTGGGCCCGGATGAAGGATGGGTGGTTGGAATCGGGCAGCGCGGACATGACCGTCGGGCGTGGTTTGTAGGCGTACTTCTCGGGGGTCGGGGGGATGCTGGGCTCGATGGAAGGATCCAGCCGCGCTTGCTCGCTCTTGTCCAGGAGTTTGACGATGTCTAAGCTTTCGCCGTGCGGGATCTTGTGCGGATGGGATGGGGTTACGCAGTCCATGTCCACTTCTTTGCGGAGGACGTGGTCGATGTCAACGGCGGAGAAGTAGGCGCAAGATTGGGGGAGGTCGTGGATCCCAACTTGCTCCGAGAACATAGCACGGGTCCAGACGTTCGCCACTTGCAGCGCGAGGGCCGCGCGGTATCTATCTTCATCTTTGACGAGGTATCGGATTTCATCGTGCACGGTGATCGCTAGTCGAGCAGCGATGTTGAAGCGCCGGATTAGATAGTCCATTGCGACGATCAGCAGATGCAGATAATCAACACCGGAGGACTGAATGGCCCAATTAATCCTTGACGTCATGAAGCTGCCCTTGTTGATGAAGCGCCGCATCAATGCCTCCGTGATACCTGCTCCCAGCGTCGGGGTCCTCGGTCTTTCTTGCTCAGCGAACTCCTCCAGCTTGTTGAACACGAATGACTCGGTGCCACCTCTCCAGAATGGAGTATCACTGATAAGGCGCCGGGTCGTCCGAGTGCCCTTGGTCTCTTTGTACAGCTTACTCGCTACCTCCTGTGTTTCCTTCTCGTTCATCGATGGGTTGAACTGTCTCAGCAGAGTAGCCGCGAACTTCACTCCGGCTCCGTAGATACGTCCATAGTTGAAAACCTTGGCGTCGTTGCGAGAAATGCCTAGGATTGAAGCGGTACGCGAGTGCATATCCGTCCCGGCAGCTTTGGAACCTTCCAGCGTCATGAAACCGATGGCATTTCCACCGTGAATCTGGAATTGAGCATCTCCAATGAGACTCGCGATCCACAACTCTTGTGAGTCCACGTCGGCACCGACAAAAGAATAGCCCGGTGGAGCTTTGATCATGGCCTTCAGCTCAGAGCCAACGCGGTTGCCTTTCGCATTACTTGCAGTAAGCCAGGTATTTTCAACAGCTCTTCGTGTGATAGTACCCATGGGGATAATCTGGGGAAGAATGAAACCTAGACGAGTCTCATCAGTCTTGGTTGGTTCCACATCTCGCACCTGATCTTGGTAAACCACCAGTTGACTCGTAATGCGATCACGAGCGCTGATCCAATATGAGCAGGATGCATTCATCTCCAAAGCCTCCTTAGCGAGGGCATACTGGGATGAAAGAGTTCCACGTTCAAAATACTGCATGTAGCCTTTCGCTAAGGGATTCACACATCGTGCTGTGGGCCCGTCTTTATGTGGCAGCTTAAAGTAAGCATGCTTCCGGTCATTTTTGAGCTCGAGGATCTTCTCCTCCGACATGTCACAAATCACCACTGGCTGATTGTCGTACTTCTTCGCATGTTCGCGAGGAACCTTGAAAGTCCATCCGTGCTTGTCGGACCAAGTCAAAGGGTATCCATCCCACGACAGCTTGAGAAGAATCGGGGCAATTCGCGTCCGGACACTGAGGTTGATGTCTGCATCGATCTTGGGAAAAAGATCTTTATACCACTTAGGCATGCCCGGCTTTTTTTGCCTGGCGGCTGGCCGCGGAGGATCGTTCTTCTTCTTTCCCTTGACCATTTTGATTTCCTGGCCAGACCAGTCCAGCTGCCGTAACCATGGATCATTTGTAAATGTCTCGGGAGAGTCTTTGACTTTTAGAGCTTCATTGCACAGCTCGACCATTTTCTTTTGGACATCCTCAAGTCGTTGATGGTATGTCGCCTCTGCGTTGACGAGATATTCCTGCCATGTCTGATTGACGGGCAAAATCACCGAGGAGAGATGCCTCAAAGCCCCGAAGCTAACGGGGTGCGGACAGACCTCAAGGAAATTCGGGAAGACCTTCTTGTAAACACGATGGGTGATTGCAACATCTGCTGCACAATAGTCGAGTAATTCCTCCAGCTTCTCCACAATCTCCTCCCTGCTAAGCTCGCCAAAGTAGTCTCGTTGTGACTTGTCAATCGTAACATCACAATGAAACTTGGCCACATCTCGAAGCGAGTTCACCGAACTTCTTCCGATCCAGAGTTCCTCCTCCTCTTCGCTGAGCATTTTGTTTTCGAGTAAGGCTGCCAACTCCACTGAGTTGCTCTCATTGGTGATCTTGTCCCGAAGATCTTTATTTTTCTTGTGACGCATCCAGGTTGGTCTCTGCTGTGAACACATCCCGTTGACTGCAACGTGTAGAGACATTGTATCGAGGAAGAAATTGCGAGTCTGGCCCATGTCGTATTCTTCAAGCACGCGAGCTCTATCATAGCCGATGTTATGTCCCACAATGATACGTGACTTTGATGGGTCTCCGAGAGGTACCAGTTGAATCTCATTCTCCGTCTCGCCCAGCAGCCAAGGCGAAATCCACGCATACCAAGCCGTAGGACTAACTGCGCACGCCATGACCGCAAAAGAATGTACTTTGTACAGTACTTCGGTGTCGAAGGTCAGAATCGATTCGTTGGGTGCATCCACGGCTTCCCAGGAGCCGTCGGAATTATACTTCGTCCATCCGCTACGGTTCACCCATTTGCGTGGCTTTTCTGGCGAGTTGACAGTGATATATTCCTTCGCAAGCGATAGGTACGGTTCTGAGCAGTCCATTCCTAGCTTGAAAAAGTGTTCATCTAGCGATTGTCCTTGGAGGGTTGGCATATCGAAGGCAACGGGCTCGGTGGCATCCTGGGATTTTCCGAGCAAATCATGCCTGGATAGATGTTCTTTTGCTAAGGCGACAAGGTTTGGGTCGGGAGGATCTGATTTCGTGGGGAATACTTGAGAATATACATGGTCGCTCAGCTGTTGGACTCCAATCTCGTTAAACCTAGCCAGAGCAGGGACTGCGCCATTAGTACTTAATTTCTGACACATTTATAGATCCGAGCTATGAGTTACCGGAAAGTGAGCCCTTATCCGCGCTCTTCCTACCAGACTCATTGGTGGTTGATTGAGTAGCGAGGTATCTTGATATTTGTACTGTCCCTTTGCGAGGGATGCGAGACGAACGCAATCTCTGCGAAAAAAAGATAGCTGCATCCCTGCGACAGGGAGCGCAGGGGATACTCCAGAGCATGATGTCAAGCGGATAAAGTAATATAGATCAGTCCATGGTATGACGATTTGAGATGTCGCAGCCGATGCTGCGCAATGAAGAGTGCGACCGAGCTTTGGGGATTGGAATCTTTTGGCTCACAAGGAGGGCCGGGCGATCGTCTTTTCTTTCCTATTGGGCTATTTCGGCGTCATGATGAGAAATACTGGAAGATCGATGTTCCGTGACTTCGACCGCCTTCCTATCAAAGGTAGCCAACCGCTTATCGCCAACCGCGATAAGATCAGTGGCAGCAGATCTTCTCCGCCACGCTTGACTGAGACGATTCAGTCTGCCTTCACTCTCTTGATTTGTTTTCTAGAAACTAAAGTCTTGACCATGGATATCCGCCGTTACTCCTTAGACTCGTCACCAACAAGCCCAAGTGACCATCCGACGGAGTTCCCAGACCCCAAGCGACGCCGCATAGCCCCTCCCTTCCAGCTTGACGGACAGTCAAGTGAGGCGGCATCTATCGACTTGACCGAGACCGAGGAGATGTCGGAAATCTCGAAAACACAGGCGAAGCAGCGGGCAGATGCCATTCTCGCACAGCAGTCACTTGAGAATAATGCTGAATCAATCTTTGCTGCTTACAAGTGCCCCGTGTGTATGGACACTCCCGTAGATGCTACCAGTACTGTGTGTGGTATGGCTTTGGATTCCAGTGTCAACTCCAGATTGGCGGGGGCGAACGCTTACAATTCAATCTAACTTTGCATAGGACATCTTTTTTGTCACAAATGCATCACCGATACCCTAAAGTTCAGCGAAGAACGGTCAGACTCTACTAGTAAATCGCCGAAAGGCACTTGCCCGGTGTGCCGGAAGCCTTTGTCACGAAACGACGTCGCAGGTCCGAAACGACATTTAATACCTCTGCAGATAAAGCTGCTGCGGCGGAAGAGAAACACAGGGAACACTTCGGCTGCATGAGGGAGCTTTTGCTCGGCGAGTGACCAGGGCGGAGTATGA